GTATGCTACTGTCATGTATGTTGCTGTCCATGTATGCCACTATCATGTATGTTACTGTCGTGTATGTTACTATCATGTATGCTACTGTCATGTATGTTACTGTCTTGTATGTTACTATCATGTATGTTACTATCATGTATGCTACCATCATGTATGCTACTATCATGTATGTTACTGTCGTGTATGTTACTATCATGTATGTTACTATTATGTATGTCACTGTCGTGTATGTTACTATCATGTATACTACTATTACTATGTATGCTATTATCGTGTACACTGCTGTCATGTAGTTCCTTACTATTATGTACACTATCATCGTCTACTGTCTTGTTTTGAAGACGATAAATTGAGATGTGAAGTTCGAAATCGAAAAGTTGAGTTACATATTGTCACATGTGAGTATTTTCCACCGACTTGAAATGCAGCGAACTTGAAATAAAATGAACTTTGCCACAGTGTTGTGAATTATTACAATGTATGTGAGTGGATGGGGGTATATCAGTCACATACACCAATATATACTACTAAATATTGAGCAAATTACTATATCTTTTCTTATTTTGTAAAACATTGTTTATAATATATCGATTATGATGAAGCAGACAATTATGTCATGTGTGTCTTGATGTCGTGCCGTAATATAGACGCGGTATTGTCGTGGTGGTCTATTTTGGTGTATTTACCTTCTGGCAGAGTTGTTACATTACTTTAAAACAATTCAATCTTGGTAATCACGTGTAATACAAAATCTGTGTCGTGTGTTGTGGATAAGTCATAGTGATGGCAACGCTTTGCCATGATCAGTCATAATGCGATTGATTGAGCGTAAAGTGCGTTTTCAGAGTACACAGAGTGTTTACTATCTTTTCTGTAGCAACGAATTGCGGGGCAATGTTGACATTATATTTATATTGTTGAAAATTAATTCACATTGCACATTTCCTGCATAATAAAAAACCCGGTTCATAAGTAATTTTGTTCGCTCGTATTGCTACACTACTAGTATTCCAGCTTACCCTGGGATAATTGAGTCTTGTATATTCAGTATTTCACGTGAAGGTGTGTGGTCCATTTGACAGTTTCTGGTTGCTGTATTATTTATTTTTAATGACCTCTAACCGCGTAATGGGACATTAAGTACTATCGGACCTTCGTCGTAGATATGAAATCGATGGCTATCTAGAATACAGGGTGTGTGATTTTTTTGTTGAGATGAACTCCTGCATCAAACTGAAGTCGTGATATTCACTGTTTTTTCTTCAGTTTATTTTATCAACTGGAAAAAAATATGTTTTTTTTTAATTTTTAAAGTTCAAGTTGGTCCGATTTATAGTGAATTGCAGTATGGATTGTGTACTGCGTCTAGTTTTTTTGAATAGGTGTTTTGCAAATTATATGTAACGTTCCCAATTCGTTATACCTCTGGGGATGGTTAGTGGTCGTCTCAATATATGATTGCCGTTTACCGTCAATGTACCGTTCATTACCTTTAAGTACAATTATATAAACATGATTAAAGACATGGCATATACGCTGCAGATCACCGCGTGATGTCACAGTCCCAGACGTATACGGTGACACTGAGATTAATTCCTACGTAGTTATGACGAAATCGTCAATTGTATGAAGACGTAGCCTATGCATTGTAGGGTATATCTGATGTCCATTCATAGTTAATACGCATGTCCCGGAGCTACCTGTGTCACATATGTATCACAAAGCAAGACACACTTTAGTCAGTCTCCGTCTTGCTAAAGCTTACAGTTCGATTCACGCTGTGACGTAGAGAAACGTACACAATGAAATAAAAAACGCACCATACTTATATCAAGTCTTTGTAGAGAAATAAATGTGAATACAAGAATTCCAGTTGTACTAGTTAAAAACAACAAGCTATGTTTTGTACAAAATGGAGAATGCTCTGAATAAACAAGTGTTTAGTTTCTATTTTGTTATTAATATAATAATTTATTTATTTACTTTCATATACGCACACGCTCCCACCTAAATATAATAATCGATATAGATCGACGACGCCTACGAATAAAAACGATACACCCACGACTGCCAGCAAGACAATAACACATGTGCACTGATTACAGTGAATGTGTTCTCAATTCTTACTGACAGCTTTCCTGCAGGACCAATTCATCGATTTTTTTCCAGTTCTCCAGTTACACGCAACGTGGTAGGTAGCGGAAACTACCACTTTGCTGTCTAACACTCTGAAATATGTATCATAACAAACATGTTATTATATATACAAACAGTAAACTGCATTAACATGTCACCAGCTCTAGGTAAATAGGAATTTCCGTCATTTTATCAAATTATAGCAAATTACCACATGATCGCTACATCCGGGTTACGAGGCGATCAATTCACCCATCTGAACATACTAGACATAGACAGCTTGGATTCTCGTCGATAGTTTGACGGAATATCGTTATATCCACGGAATGTTCTCTAATTCCGTCGTGCTGGCATTCCTTACAAGTAACGATGTTTACTGTAAACAGGCTCGGTGTAAGTGCGGTGTTTGTTTATTGCAAATCAAAAATTAGAGAAAATACAAATATTTTATAGAAAAGACATCGTACGTCCTGGATACAGGGACATTGTACATAAACATACTGTAATGGCTGGTGGGCAGTTTTGAATGCAGCACTGAAGTGATCAATTTCCGTTAACATCATAGTAAACCGACATGCAAGATTGTTTTTTTACCGTATCTATGCGCCGCAGAGGTGAACAGAAACAACATATATAATTTCTCAGTAATAATTTTTGTTCTTCCTATTGGACTGCTGGAATGGGCAACAGATGTTGAGGTTACTCGTACAACTTAGTGGATATCTGGCGACTAACAGGACCCATAGTGTTTCAACCCCTCCCCTGACCCGTCCTTCACCGACAGTACAACTGCTCGCAGTATCTGAGTTTACCACGAGGCGAGAAAAAAACGTGACAAGTATCTTCCTAGTCGTTGAATTTAGATGTCAAGGGAACTCAATTCCGAAGAATCTTGTAATTTGGGCGTTTTTTTATTCAAATCAATCTAAGTAATTAAAACGGACAGTGATAAAATGCGGATGACTTTGTACTGACACTATTTAACGCTACATGGTGCACATCTTGGATATGAACATGCCTTGATCAATCGTATTTTAAGCAGCAAGCAGGGAAAGATACTCACCAGACACAATTATTATGCAAATCAGTTATGACGACAGCGCCGTTGGCATGGCAACTTACGTTCATTGAAATGTCGCCTCAGTTAAAAACCACGTGATATAGTACGCGAAACTATAAACAAGCTTAGACTACTTCCTTATTTTTACAAATGCATTTCATGTAAACAATTCTTCACTGCGCGACCTTATTCCACCCCAGGGGTTCGCTAGGCTTGACACGATTTCAATAATCGGAAGGGTTTATGATCAGTTCGGTATTATGTGGACAGTAGGCATCCACCAGAATAACCTTCTGCATAACTTGGATTGACATTTCTTTGCTCCTTTATCAAAGATAAAGCGAAGGCACATACAGCAGACACGTGTTTCCTAACCTAAGTTTATATTATTAGTTATTGACATAACACTGAAACTGTTACAACATTATGGTTTATAAACAACAACAAGTATCAACAGTTTTCATAATAAAATGAATAAATTTAAAGTTAATAATAATAAGACGAGTGTCAATAACACTTAATAATTAAACTTGCTTAACTGAATTGTGCACACTGCGTCTACCAGACACAAACAACCACGTGCGAAATGTCAATACCGCAAATAGTCACCTGTCTCAAAACGGGTATATATAACGATCATTATATACTAGTATTCGACCTGAGTGAGAGAGGCTACCAGCTTACAAGAGTTCAGAACTCATTTCTGGAAACGATGCGTTTCGAATCCAGTGCATTCGCCTTTCGAAAGCGGCTTTTATCGTAATATTGTGTTGTATCGGTACAATTGGTCACAAATATAGAAAGGGAAGTGATTATTGTTTTCCTAATTACGACCACGTGCTCGTTGCCCTTCTAAATTTATCCCAAGCTAATTATTTTTAGAACAGTTGTGCTAAAAATAGACTCGACCATTCTTCGGCTCGAGAAATAAGTAGGTAACATGTGACTGATGGTGACGTCAAACCAACAAAGCGTTGATGCGAAACCCTGACGTCACCTCTCCATATATGGTTACCCAGAACATCTCATTTACATTTGTGCTGGATACAAACGAGAACAGTGTTGGGTTTTCCGTCGCCCTGTCTACTTCTTTTTTCTCATGTTGCAGTATTACAAGGGTAGTTGCATGATAAGTGTTTAAACGAAAACATCGAATTCATTTTCTTACAGTCCAGCGCTGGTAGCTGCGATGTTTTACCCTACTGCCGGACAGGAGGGGTGAGTATAGTCGTTTAGTGTTAATTCAGAGTCAGAGTGAGAGCGAAGTACTACAGGAAAACTTCATCTATGGTATTTAAGCAATTGAGCACAATGCGAACACAATAGTACTACGCTGTTATGTATACGCACATTTATATACTAGCCGTGACTCATGCCGCTGTACAACGTCTTTGTTTTTTGTTTATATATTGACAAATAACTAAAGAGTGGCACACATACCATTTATATCCAGACATGTATATCTCAAAGAAAAGTCATATTTGATACAAAAAAAAAATTATCGACAACACTTTGAATACACGCATTTAAAGTATTGTGATCTGCGTTTTAGTTAGCATTGAATGTCCAGTCTCATTGCCGCTTTATTTTTGTACTGAGTGTTCCTTTTTTTTAAATGCCTGTTTCTTTAGGTCTTTCGGTAGTGTAGTTTCGCCGTCCTCTGTGTGCCTTAGTAGTTCATCGACACTGCCGGTCAGTGTCCAATCAGCTAGCACTCCACCCGCGTCATCTCAGGACCACCATCTCAACCACCTTCACGAAGGGTGGTCCGAGGCGGAAATGACGCTCTCCTCTGCCATATCTACTATTACAGACGCCGTGTCTAAATCAAAGAAAAAGACTCCTTTCAGGTAAGCATTCAGATATAATTATGATTTTTAGGCAATCACGTTTCTATCATTCGGCATCATACACGTAGAAGCGACAATCTGTTATGCTCATTCTTCGTCACGAATTACTAAATTTAAAGGCAGTTGAATGAATTTACGACACAGTAGAGAAAAGAGAAGTATGTATTGCATGCTTTATTGGGAAAAGGTTTATTTATAGGGTAAACATTAGAGATTACTGCTACTTAAGTGGGTTAATAAAAACGTCTGTACTCATCGCCGTCCCCGAAACATTATGACCCAGCACATGTGTGTGTTGATTTCAGTTCAAACATCGTTCGATTTCACTTTAATGTGATATTCACTTTAGATGTTTGACTTATTCGTAGTGCTGTTTTCATAACAATACTAACACGTCATTGGCGCAACTTCGTAACCATGGTTACCCTTCAAGACGTCGACGTGCTACGTGACAATATGAAATAAGATGCCTAAAAAAATCGTTTTACTTAGATTTCGATTTTACTGTAGGGCGTTTGTGTGTTTTGTTCGATGTTGACAACAGCCTTAATCACTGTTTTTTTTTCGTGTCATCGTACACGGCGCACATAAAGGTGAACCTGGGGTACAGACGTGTCGAATTCATGCACACATGTTTCCTTTCATCTACGTCACGCTACACTTAATCACTCCAAATTCGAGTTTCCCTAAAATTTCCAGGCGTGTAGAGATTCATTTCACAACAAATAATATTTTTTTATTAAATGGTACAGCGAAGCTACCAGCAGAAACATTGTAATATGTTAATTACAATCTACCAAATTTCGCCAATAGATGGCGCTAACTAAGTCGTAGGCATTGAAAAACAAAATAACAATATCATAGGCCGCAAGCTGGCGCACCCACATCTCCACAATCCGAATATGAAAGACACGTTTGTCGATTTATGCTACTCTTCCCCCAGAGGATCTCTTACGGGAACAGTTGGTTTCGCATATCTTCCGAGATAAAATAGCACAGAATAGACTCTGTATTTCAAATTGTTTAAAACTTATAAGCTTTCAGGGTTAGTTTTACTTTGCTCTGTATACCACTTTCAAAGATTCTAGCTCGAGTTCTATTGATCATTTGAAAAGAAATGAAATTTTCACGGCACTGAATACACCTAGAGTCATTTTAAAAATACTGTCTCGAAGCCTGGAAACAATTTTGTGTGCGAGAGAGGCCCCCTCCCCAGAACTCCCGCATCTGCAATCATATTGATCGTAATCTATCTAATCTAAATAGTTTTCCAATGTACATAGGTCCGCAGGAAGACGTCGATTTCGTAAATCGTAAATCAGATGCATGTCAAATCCCACGTGCCATGACTACGTTATACCCGACAAACCCAAGACCCTCTTGTAATTAGAAGTTCAAAGTGAAAATGTTCTAGCTACCATGTATTCATGAAGCCTGTGCGACCGGACGATGGCCCTGGACCACTCTCCGGGTTCCTCTCCCCTGAAAACTTCACGTTGACACGGGAATCGTTCTGGTTGCAGGGTCCCCGCAAAACAGTATACATTGTATTGCGTTTGAAATATTGAATGGGGCACACCTGTGAAATGGTGACGCGCAACTTCACCATATTTGTTGATGACGTATTATTGTTTTTCAATAGAAATATGGGCGACTTCAGGGAAATAGGCGGGCTCCATTCGGGGTTTCCCCTTTAGGCAACGGTAACATCCAAATGATAGCAATCTGATTAATTATTCATGAGCTTGAAACAAAATACTCACCCCGCGAAATGTTTTGAACATTTGGAAGGACAACTGTGCGACAATGAGCGTGCCGAGAAAACCTTTCTGGTAAATGAATAACCAAAACTCGGCCAAGTTTTTAACAACGAATTCAGAAAATTGCGGAAAATTTTAAAACTTTTTTGTTGTATTTTATTTTCTCTATAGGTCGACGAAAGGAGCGTCCAAACAGAGGCGGGATTTGATCAATGCCGAGATCAAGAATTTACGGGATTTATTACCGTTGCCAGATTCGGTAAAAGCCAGGTTATCATATCTGCATGTCATGTCACTGGCTTGCGTTTACACCAGAAAATGCAACTTTTTCTCGCAAGGTGAGTTAATATAAATTACGAACCACCAGACCAATAAAACGCGGTAAATGTTTTGAACAGTCGAAGATTGAAGATTGTTACGATGGCAATATTAGTACATAACAACAGGAATGACGTACGTTTTGAGTTTTGTTGCTCTATATTGAATACTATCTAAATTCGTGCTCTTCTGTGTTTTTAATAGATTTTGCAAGTCGTGTTAGTGCATCTCATGATATTGAGAAAATAAAACAAGAGTATGATTTCAGCCCGGTAAGTATCAAATGTTACCACTCAATTGACGGGAGCTAGTATGTGTGTGTATGGGGGGGGTGGGGGTGACCGTCATCGTTTAGGAGATGATAAAATCAGGGTTTTCCCCGTAAATTGCGCACTTTTTCGTACCATAACCTTACTGTTGAGCAGCTCCACGAAGGGATGAACCATTTGAATTGTGGGGGTGATGAAGTATGTGAACATTTAACTTTTGCATGTGTAATATTTGTTAACAAAACTCCCTAAGTTGATGAATGGCCCTACCTAAACTGATATTTTTCTAATACATAAATTATGAACAAGATAGTCAAAAATATAAATATAATAATTTTTTGCGTGTGATTACAGGTGCTGAATGGTTTTCTCCTCATTGTAAACAGTGAAGGATACTTGCTGTATATATCAGAAAATGTCACAGAATTCCTTGGCCACTCCATGGTATGTCAACTACTGTATGTCAAGTATAGTCATGGTTCATGAAGGGATATTTATTGATACACGTATACACAGTTCATATGTCTAACAGTAAACCAATGTTTTATTTTCCAGGTTGACTTGTTAACCCAAGGAGGTAGTGTCTTTGATGTAGTTGACGACCGAGATCATGCTACTATCAGAACGAATTTGAAGTATTACGAAAACCATTCCAATCGTAAGTATTAAAAACCACATCATCAGAACATCATTCGGGATGATGACGAAATTTGAAACAATAGATCCACATTCACATTGAAGACCAATAACCTAACTGTTGTCTGTCTTTTCATATTCTAGCTAAAAGATCATTCTTCTGTCGAATGAATACATCGCGATCCATGCGACGACAAGACAACTGTAGTGATAATAAGGTATGTGAAATAATTATCTCATTACCATAAATTACATAAACCTTATTAATCATTCTTTCCTTATACAGCAAATATCAAATTAAATATTCGTTATTTCCACTCATGATTACAGGTTGTTCATATCACAGGCAGATATCATTCCATGGCCACAACCTCCAGCTGGTCACCTGCTCCTGTGTTCATTGGTGTTTGTTCCCCAATCTCATCTAGTATTTGTCGTACTGCAAGGTGTGAGAGTTCGGTACTTGACACTATGTCATTCACCACACAGCATGGCTTGGACATGAGACTACAGGAGGTGTCGTCAAGGTAATGAGAGATGCGCTCACTTTAATACTCTATCATATGATGCAATACACGAAAAGTGTTTTTTATTAATGTTTTTTATCAAAATCTATAAAATATTTACGTTTCATTCAAATCTAAAAAGTACGCTTACATTGGCTAAGAAAGCCATTTGATAATTCCCCATTCATTATCCATAAGTCTTTGCGAGTTTGCTCCAATCATTGATTACTACCATCATCCTTTAGTCAAATTGTATTCATTTGAAATAAATATGTTATTTAAAAACAAGAAATATATCACTGATATTAACTTCCTTTGTTTGCAGAGTGGTGTACCATTTAGGTTATACTGCCGAGGAATTGTACGCTACTTCTTGGTACAATTTATTGTATGCAAATGATGATGTCATCGGTAGAACGCATCACCAATATTGTAAGTATCTTTAACAAGACGATAGGCAATAATCAGATATCATCATTAATGAATTCTTTTGCATGCCCAAACATGTTAGAAAATACTTTTTTGATTAGTCACATAGCAATTGTTACAGCCGCTCCACCACACCATGTTTGATTTGGGACCCATAGCGATGTATACAATGCATATAAAATGACATATTTGTTTACAAGAAATTGAAACACACACTGCATGATGAGTGTAGCTCTTAAATTATTCTATTTTAAAGCATTGTCAGCAATATAACACTCCAAAGAATGATTTATTTTGGCATTATAGTTGCCAATTATATGCAATCAAACAATGTGTCACATGGGACCCATATCAAACAAGGCACATTGCAATTACACCACTTTTTAATCAAGTACATAATATACATGTAATAATGTGTTTGGTAAATTACTAATATTTTTAAAATGTTTTTTATCGCAGTGATTCAGCAAGTTCAACAAGGGAACCAAACTAGCTGTGAATTTGTTGTAAGGATGCTAACTAAGGATAAACTCATTGTCAATGTCTTCATCCATGCTACAAGCCATCCTGATGAACTGGACACATCACCAATTATCTGTGAAAACAGGGTCATCTGGTAAGCGGAACAACCTAAAAAAATA